ACATCCTTTCCAGCATTTAGATATAATTTAATTTGCATTAGATTCTCCAAATGTGTGGCTTCAAGTATATTTCGTGCTTGCACTTTTATTATGTTAATAAGGCTAAAACCGTGTTCGTAATCAGCACTGCATGCTTGGAAGGTACAATAATGTCACTTAACTTTGCCAGTGAGCTAAATTGTTCTTTGTTTTGACAAATCTTGCATATTCAGACATATAATTTATAGACACAGATCTGAGTTTTTCATTTTATCGAAATTTGAAGTCGTTGTATTGGGTGGTAATTAACTGATCATTTGTTGTACGTAACCCGTCTTTGTACTTTACGCACAGTTCTTTGATATCTTTGACGCCAAACTCAAATGCACATTTTTTTAAACCTGTAGAATAAAAAAGATGACCAAAACTGCAGTTCATCTCCTGGAAACCTAACATTTAAATGGTCGCAGACTGATTGTATGTACTGTGTGGTTTGCCTTGTGTCGATTACTTTTCTTGGTTTTAATGTTCAGTGTAGTGCTGTGTTACGGCTGTCTCCAGAGCTAAGGCATCACTTACAGTAGGCTGAGTTATTCCACTAAAAACGGTTTTGTAGAATACAGAATTGACTGGACGAAATTTAAAATAAAGGATTAGCATTGTATGTACTGTTATGCCATCAACTATAAGCGTGTGGAATGATGCTGCTCGAAGTTCTGTCAGCATGTTCTTTACAACATCGTTGATTACTTGAACAAACTCAAAGTCGTATTTCTTACTTCGCCAACTGTCTGGTATAGAAACATACTTCCCCATGTGTTTATGAATCAGTTGTACCGACAGCATCGAGGCGTTCATCCTTATAGTAAGAAGAACATTATCCGTTAGGATTTGAACTTGATCCTCGTTTGACCGCTGGCGCTCGTTTTGCTCAATTAGTTTTCCTCGCTCAGTGTAAGTTTCAACCAGCAGACGTTTAAGGTCAGTTCCATGTGAGCGGTTGTACGAAATCGCAACATTTCCTACGTAAACAGGAGACAATAGATGACGTTTTCAGTAGTCAAGCGCCCATGATTCCCAGAGCTTTCCTGTGACCAATTCGTTGTTTATGTTGGTTTTGTTACAAGTAGTAGCAGCACAGAACTTACACTTCAGTCCAATCTCATCGAAATATTCGTAGATGCTTTCTAATTCAACCGAAACATTCTTTGATCTGGCGTATCGGTTGTTACTTTAACTTTGAGCCATTCCAGTTTAAACGAATCTATCGCTATTTTTTGGTGCCACATTGTTGTACTGCTTGTTACACACATTTTTTCCTCAACATTTTTAAATAACACACAGTAGTGGACATTTATTCCTGATTTACCTAAGCAGTGTGTGCGTACTAAAACATTTCGATCCACATGCACGTAATAATCCCAAGAATCGGATATACAATATATAAATCTTTAAACCAAACACAGCAAAAACATCCACCTTAAGTAACGTAAAACTTGCATCTGACTTGACTTAATCGTCAAAGTTTCAAGATGAGGGGGGGGGGGGTCGGGGGCAAGGGGCGATTAAAAAAACTTGCAGGGTCAGCTTCAATTCACAATACAATGCAGGTATTAGATGTCAGCTCCGGTCAGTTTTTGGGTAAACCATTAAATCAAGCAATGGGAGTGTCACACCCTGCTCAGGTGAGAGTTAAGTCATAAACTAGACCTGTGCTATGACAACCGAGGTCACTTCCCCCCCCCCCCGTCAGTGATAACCGTAGTTTCTGTTTATACCCCAAAACACAAAGACTGTTCGTTTAACAAAACAGGCACTAAAAATGTCGCTTAATTCAAACCACTGGCCACAATTTTTCTAGTAAATCAGGCTTGCCCGACGTTCTGATAATCTGTGCGCGGGGTCAGAAAATGTCTGCGCGGCACATTTGAAAGTACTGCGCGGCCGCGCAGCCGCGCAGCTTAGAGGGAACACTGATTACAATACTTTCTCTATACTACGTATATACGAGAAAGTAAAAACATTACTTCTAAAAACTTTTCCATATAGGTCAAGACTCGATGACAACGCACCGTGAAATAAAATGTGACTTAATTAGATGTTTAATTAATTTTGAAAAAAAAACGAATTATAGTTTCTTTATCTATATATCTTACAAAAAGTTGTTTACAAGTTTGTATATTTATTTATTGTTTTCTATTTTGTCTGTTTGCCAGTTTGGTAACATGAGTTTTGTGTAGAACTGTAAAATACGTATTTATGTAGAGAGTTCGTTTTTACCAAACTGATCATCACAAATTCATTTAAAGATGTTAGTTAATTTATTGATATATTCATTGATAAAAACACCACTTTAATTATAAAAATTCACAACAATTACTTTCTTTATAGTAATTCATTTACTTTTTACAATAAAGATGGCGACTTCCATGGAAGGTCATGTTGCCGATTCAAAAGTTTAACGCATTATAAAGCTAAATTTTCTGTCGGCTATAACTTTAACGATACGTCCGTTTGCTATTTTTATTATGTTCCAACAATATTATCAATTTTCATTAAGATACTCTGGGCAGTTCTTCAGATTTGACTAGATCTATACAATAAATTTATCTGGCCTATTCCGGCTAGATCTAGAGATCATAGATAGGCCAAACCTAAATTAATTGGTTACAAACAAAAAAAACAAAATAAATAATTGAATTTCTTTATTAAACTATTTTAGTCCTAAAATATTTGAAATAAATCTTTGCTTTTTAGCTTCAACTAGACTACCGGTTATCTAGTTAGATAACTGTGGGTTTCGGGGGGTCATCCATAAATGACATCACGTCTGCCAGCACTTTTCATTCCAAAATAACCAGACCCCGCATTCAAAAAGACGTTTTTTTTATAAACTCTACTAAACTCTACTTCACCTGCCCAGTGCCCCGCCAAGTCTCAGACATGTTTGTATTTTTAAAAACAAAACGATTCCGGCCGAGCATGGCTCTGACCACACTATCACTTCATATGCTGAGAACATAGAAACAGGTGAACGCTACTTCACCTGCCCTGTGCCCCGCGAGGTCCTGATAGTCAACCTTATCATTCACATATAGGCCATAAGAAAAGATAATTGAAAACATTGTTGTAAAAAGGAAATAAATCTTTTTACTATTACTAAAGTCATTGTTTTAAACTTTTATAATTAATGTGGTTAATCTACCAATGAATATATCAATAAATTAATTAACGGCTTTAAATTAGTTTGTAATTAACAGTGTGTTTAAGAAGGAACAATATTTACCACCCAAAATCCTATTTTACAGCTCTACACATAATGCAGATTCTCCCCAATAACAAATCAGAAAAACAAACAAACAAAAAAATGAGTTATCAAACGTCACTATTCAGTCAAAGTTAAGCCATTGTTCTAAAACTTTAAAATTAATGTGGTTAATCTACCTATGAATAAATCAATAAATTAATTAACGTCTTTAAATAAATTTGTGATTAACAGTCTGTCTGAAAACAAAAATTGTTCTCTACCTACATACTATTTTACAGCTCTCCACATAGAGTAGAACCATTTACAATAGTCAATCAGACAAATAAATATTCAAACATATAAACAAACTTGAGTTTAAGTAGTATATAGATGATCATCAAATTCGAGATTTATCTATCTAGATCTAGAGCTACGGAAAAACTAGACTTAATGCCAGCCGTAGATTATAACAGTGGTGTCGCGAGGTTTGGTGTCACCCCCCTACCCGAAAAAAACCGGTTTTATATATATATATATATATATATATATATATATATATATATATATATATATATATATATATATATATATATATATATATATATATATATATATATATATATATATATATATATATATAATTATATATATATATATATATATATATATATATATATATATATATATATATATATATATATATATATATATATATATATATAAAGCATTTTTCTTCTATATATTTTGTAATTTTTCGTCATGGTGTCGCCCCCTAAATAGTGTCACCCGGTGCGGTCCGCACCCCCTCGCGACGCCTCTGGATTCTAGATCTAGATCTAGCTCTATCTAGATATAGGATTTATGCCAATAATGAGTTTCTATACTAAACTATTTTCAGGTCGTAATTATTTTATATAAAGCTTTGTTCGTTAACCTATGAAATTGCCAAATTTTGGGATATAATTTAATTTGAAATAATGGGCCTATTCGCGTAACTCACGTTTCGTACGCGGATTCTCTAAGTCATGGGTTCCCAAACTGTGGGTCCCGACCCCATTAAATTAAATGTTGAGAATGACATGAGTTTGCCGTTAACAAAATCTCAGCTGCGCATGTTGAGGCTAGTTAATATCATGTCATTTCGCTCATCGTTAGTTATCAAGAATAATTCATATTGAAAGTCTATTAGTTTTGTGTAAACATTTGGCGAGTGACGGCATTGTTTTATGCGTTCTTTTTCACAACTATAAACACTTTTCCCGTTGCATAATTAAAACTGTTTTTTCTACATTCGAATATGCCTTTATTTTTTATTTTGCTTCTTTAACTAAAATTGTGGTTTTACATTTAAAACATCTATTATATTATTTTCAACAAAAATCCGTATCAAGTTCTCATTGTATCGCTTAAGATTCTGATGTGATATCCGGCGAAAAATATTTCGCGGACAGAGAGAGAGAAGTGCGCACATGGTCTTTTATATATTAGGATAATATATAATAAATAACACAAACCTAAAGAATCCGACTGAATTTATTTTTGAAGTTACTGTTAAGATAATTACTGTAAAGAAAGTGACTATGAAGGAAAAAACTGATAGTAAAATCAATGTAAACAAAGTTACTGTAAAAAAAGTAACCGTTTATTGAATGAAGAAAATGTTACTCTACATAAAGGTATTGTATTCAGATTTAAGAAATTTGAAGAGAGGGGACAAAACAAAGGAGATAATCACATGAAGGATGGTGTGGATAATTAATTTTTTTTCTTTCAGTCAACTCAAGTCAACGTGACATGATCGCCAAAGGTGGGTGCATACAAACTCGTTAAATCTTCTTCTTGCTTCCAAATGACTTGCTAAACGACTTGACTAATAACTTGACAAATGACTTGACAAATCACTTGCTAAATCATGGCACCTTTGTTAGTAGCTGTTTACATAGCTACTACAAGAGAGTAAACACTGATGATTAAAACATTAAATTCTGCCCCACATTTGGTCCACATTATGGTCCCACGTCATGGTCCCACATTATGGTCCCACATTATGGTCCCACATCATGGTCCCACATCATGGTCCACATCACGGTCCCACATCATGGTCCCACATCATGGTCCCACATCATGGTCCACATCACGGTCCCACATCATGGTCCCACATCATGGTCCCACATCATGGTCCCACATCATGGTCCCACATCATGGTCCCACATCATGGTCCCACATCTGCCCCACATCATGGTCCCACATCTGCCCCACATCATGGTCCCACATCTGGTCCACATCATGATCCCACATCATGGTCCCACATCATGGTCCACATCATGGTCCCACATCATGGTCCCACATCTGGTCCACATCATGATCCCACATCATGGTCCCACATCATGGTCCCACATCATGGTCCCACATCATAGTCCCACATCATGGTCCCACATCGTGGTCCACATCATGGTCCCACATCATGGTCCCACATCATGGTCCCACATCTGCCCCACATCACGGTCCCACATCATGGTCCCACATCATAGTCCCACATCATGGTTCACATCATGGTCCCACATCTGCCCCACATCATGGTCCCACATCTGCCCCACATCATGGTCCCACATCTGCCCCACATCATGGTCCCACATCATGGTCCCACATCACGGTCCCACATCGTGGTCCACATCATGGTTCACATCATGGTCCCACATCATGGTCCCACATCATGGTCCCACATCATGGTCCCACATCATGGTCCCACATCATGGTCCGACATCATGGTCCCACATCATGGTCCCACATCGTGGTCCACATCATGGTCCCACATCATGGTCCGACATCATGGTCCCACATGGTGGTCCACATCATGGTCCCACATCATGGTCCCACATCATGGTCCCACATCATGGTCCCACATCATGGTCCCACATCATGGTCCCACATCATGGTCCGACATCATGGTCCCACATCACGGTCCCACATCATGGTCCCACATCGTGGTCCACATCATGGTCCCACATCATGGTCCCACATCATAGTCCCACATCATGGTCCCACATCGTGGTCCCACATCATAGTCCCACATCATGGTCCCACATCGTGGTCCCACATCATGGTCCCACATCATGGTCCCACATCATGGTCCCACATCGTGGTCCACATCATGGTCCCACATCATGGTCCGACATCATGGTCCGACATCATGGTCCCACATCATGGTCCCACATCATGGTCCGACATCATGGTCCCACATCATGGTCCCACATCATGGTCCCACATCATGGTCCCACATCATGGTCCCACATCATGGTCCCACATCATGGTCCCACATCATGGTCCCACATCATGGTCCACATCATGGTCCCACATATTATTATTAAAACAGGCTAATTGGTTTGCATGTAACCTTACTAAACCCTAACTATCTTACACCTAAACTAATTAGTTGAGACAGCAACCGTTCATGTGCTAAGTCACACATGCAGGCTCTTAATAAACGAAACAATCATTTTTCTAATTGAATTGAAACCATGGCGAGGCGAGGTAAAAAAAAAAAACCTCTCGTGATGGAGAAATTACTGAGAGCAGAAATACTTGAAATTTTTCTGTTGGACTCGCGGTCTAGTGATGTGTTCGGGTTAGGGCTAGGGTTAGGTGTTCGGGCTAGGGTTAGGTGTACGCACGCTACACGACTGCATGACAACAAGACGCGGTATTTTGATGGCGCTTTCTTTTAGCTGTACCGTGAAGCGATCTGCGCCGCTTGATGGGCCGTCAGTCCCGCACTAGACGTCAGTCCCGCTCGTTGGCCAGAAAAATGTTTGAATGACAACAGGGGCAGACGATCTGTAATGAATGCGTGGCTAGAAACGGGAGACTCAACTTGTGTTTTTGTTTCATTTCAAACAAATAAGTCGTTCACAGGGGCATACACTTAGATGGGGTTAGACTAAGAGGCATACAACTAGATAGTATTAGGGGCATACCGTTAGATGGCTTAGGATAACAGCATTATATTTAGTTGTGGGATAAGGATAACAGCATTATATTTAGTTGTGGGATAAGGATAACAGCTGTATATTAGTTGTGGGATAAGGATAACAGCATTATATTTAGTTGTGGGATAAGGATAACAGCATTATATTAGTTGTGGGAAAGGGATAACAGCATTATATTAGTTGTGGGATAAGGATAACAGCATTGTATTAGTTGTGGGAAAGGATAACAGCATTATATTAGTTGTGGGATAAGGATAACAGCATTATCTTTAGTTGTGGGATAAGGATAACAGCATTATATTTAGTTGTGGGATAAGGATAACAGCATTATATTAGTTGTGGGATAAGGATAACAGCATTATATTAGTTGTGGGATAAGGATAACAGCATTATTTTAGTTGTGGGATAAGGATAACAGCATTATATTAGTAGTGGGATAAGGATAACAGCATTATCTTTAGTTGTGGGATAAGGATAACAGCATTATATTAGTTGTGGGATAAGGATGACAGCATTATATTACTTGTGGGATAAGGATAACAGCATTATATTTAGTTGTGAGATAAGTATAACAGCATTATATTTAGTTGTGGGATAAGGATAACAGCATTATCTTTAGTTGTGGGATAAGGATAACAGCATTATATTAGTTGTGGGATAAGGATGACAGCATTATATTAGTTGTGGGATAAGGATAACAGCATTATATTTAGTTGTGGGATAAGGATGACAGCATTATATTAGTTGTGGGATAAGGATAACAGCATTATATTAGTTGTGGGATAAGGATAACAGCATTATCTTTAGTTGTGGGATAAGGATAACAGCATTATATTTAGTTGTGGGATAAAGATAACAGCTGTATATTAGTTGTGGGATAAGGATAACAGCATTATATTTAGTTGTGGGATAAGGATAACAGCATTATATTAGTTGTGGGATAAGGATAACAGCATTATATTAGTTGTAGGATAAGGATAACAGCATTATATTAGTTGTGGGAAAGGATAACAGCATTATATTAGTTGTGGGATAAGGATAACAGCATTATCTTTAGTTGTGGGATAAGGATAACAGCATTATCTTTAGTTGTGGGATAAGGATAACAGCATTATATTAGTTGTGAGGTTGGACACTGAGGGAACTCTCTGTGTGGATCAAACGTTCTTTGTCTCACCTGAGGTTTAGGGTGAAAAGATATAGTGATGTGTGTGATTTATTCCTTAACCCCACCTTTCCCTAACCCCACCTTTCCCTAACCCCACCTTTCCCTAACCCCACCTTTCCCTACTTTCCCTTACCCCACCATTCCCTAACCCCACCTTTCCCTACTTTCCCTTACCCCACCATTCCCTAACCCCACCTTTCCCTAACCCCACCTTTCCCTAACCCCACCTTTCCCTAACCCCACCTTTCCCTAACCCCACCTTTCCCTAACCCCACCTTTCCCTAACCCCACCTTTCCCTAACCCCACCTTTCCCTAACCCCACCTTTCCCTAACCCCACCTTTCCCTAACCCCACCTTTCCCTAACCCCACCTTTCCCTAACCCCACCTTTCCCTAACCCCACCTTTCCCTAACCCCACCTTTCCCTAACCCCACCTTTCCCTAACCTCACCTTTCCCTAACCCCACCTTTCCCTAACCCCACCTTTCCCTAACCCCACCTTTCCCTAACCCCACCTTTCCCTAACCTCACCTTTCCCTAACCCTTATCCTAATCTAGCCCATTGAATGGTTTCTTCATTTCCCCACTTGTACCCAGCTGGGTGTATGACTTAGGACTAATTAAAGTAATTAATTTACCCTAGTCAGACGCTGACTAGACAGATCTTTCGCTTAGCGGTGCTGGAAATTTCAAAGTGCAAAAGTTAGCTGAGCCATTCTCTCCCTCGCTTCAATCTGAACTAGTGGGTGTCGTCTGCTAAATTTAGCCAGCGCCCCACGGCGTGAATGGACGCAGTACCCTTCCCTGGTGTGCCGGCCAATTTGTAACAACTAGAGGCAGTTAGAATGACGTCACTAGATGCCGTTACTGACGTCACTAGAGGCAGTTAGAATGACGTCACTAGATGCCGTTACTGGCGTCACTAGAGGCAGTTACTGACGTCACTAGATGCCGTTACTGACGTCACTAGAGGCAGTTACTGATGCCGTTACAGACCTCTGTGCAGTAACTAGCATCCCCAACCACATTTAACTGTCACGACACAAACTGTCAAGATTTTGTTAGGATTATATCATAGAGAGGGTTAAATAAAACACATTTTTAGATGAACCTTTACAAATTATAAACTTTTAACTACACATAAAATAAACCGGAAGTGATCTCCCCTAAACTTTCTCGAATATCTATATATATATATATATATATATATATATATATATATATATATATATATATATATATATATATATAATATATATATATATATATATATATATATATATATATATATAAAGCAAAGTGGTCAAGTGCCCAATAGTGCACTTCCCGGCGCCGCTGGCGCGTCAAATTTGGCACGATAATGCCTTGGGGCGATAGAACACGAGGGCCGGTGACGGTTCGCCGAAAAGTCTACGGAGAATGGGTCAAAACTGACCAGTCGTATTTCCCTATATAATCTTTGTATTTTATGGGAAAAACAGAGGGTGATTTCAACAAAGTTTTTGGGCACTTAGCTTTTGTATGTCTAGCTAATTTTTTGCATGCACCTGTGTAAATGGCTTGGCCTTTTGAGAAAACTGTCGGTTTGACTCAAAGCCCTCGACGAGGGCTAAAAGATGACCGCGAGTGAATTTCTCCTTATATGAGATATAT